AACTCACTGTTCGCACTCTGGATCACCCTGGATGTCCCACACGCAACACTCAGTATCACAATTCACACACACACATGCTAGGCTACAGCTATGGCAGCGCTAGCTGCCACTACCTATCGCTGCACTCTACTCCTCTGCCCACTTCGTCTTCKGGCACTCTGCAGACCTCCTCGCACAAGCTGCTAGGCAGSGCTTCCGCATGGCATCCGCAGGAATGAATGAATGAATGGACGCAGCCTCTTGATTTATACTTCTGTGCTGCATTGGTCTGCCTTGTGTCCCTGGCCCATGGTGCACACAGTTCCCCCCGTGGTACTTGCTGGACCGGACTGGTACTTTCTAGACTCTCTCCAACATGGGCTTGCTTTAGTCACACCACTTGCCCACTTGCCTGCACCACTTGACCACTTGCCTGCACCACTTGACCACTTGCCTGCACTACTTGACCACTTGCCTGCACCACTTGACCACTTGCCTKCACCACTTGACCACTTGCCAACCTTCTAGAAGGACTGCAGCTAGCCTTCTAGTCTATAGGTCTACGGATCGAATCCTGGCTACCTATAGACCTACGACAGACCTACCTACCACTGGCGGTTTTAYAGGTCGCAGGTTCAACTCTTCGAGTTGACGCAGGTATTGTACACAGGTAAGTTGGGGAACTAGGGATCGAGCCCTGGGATCTACCTCAGCTACCACGAATTGGTGAATACCGTTTCAAAAGTCAGTGTCGAACCGCAGCGAAACACAACTCCAAATAAGAGCCATTGAGATTCAAATCCAAGGATTAGGCCTAGCTTCTTCATTCAAAAATTCAAATACAATATGCCTGCTCATTATAGCCATCCTTGGGCCAACTTTCATTCTAGATACAGCAATAATGACCGGGCGTTCTAGTCGGTTGGCAGCCGTAGCATAGTCGGACCTGGCCCTGCAGGTTCTCCCATCAAAGCTGGTTCAGAGTGCAGTTTCCGTAGCTATAGGCGGCTCTGCTCTCAGGGGTACAGGGCGGCTGCAACAAGAGATAGCCCACAAAAGTGTGCGTGCCTTTCCCCCTCCCCCCTTCCCCCTTCCCCCTCCCCCATCTTGTAACACAGGAAAAGAAGGATCAGCGAGAGTAGATCGACGATAATAGAGTACATTTTAGTAGGCCGGGAACCTCACAATTCTACCCCGAAGAGTATTGAGAGCATTACTACGGTCCTGGCAGAACCATGGACCAAAACACCACCACTACCTTTCGCAGCTGTAGTCCTAAAATGACCTCATCTGAAAAAACTGCTCGGCCGCTGATATTTATCATCGGCGGCTACCATCCTCTGAAACGAGTGGGACCCAAGAAAAAAACCCTGGAGTCTATCCCACCACTCAGCCCAAATTCCCCGCCTCAGACCTCGCTTGATTGCTGATTTCAGCTCCTGGTCTGAGTACCGTCTACTTTCAAATCTCGATCTGTTTCTGTCTGCCCAAATTACAGAGCAGATGACTGCTCGTGCTCCATGAGCAACATATGGCCAAGGCACCGTGGCTCTGGGGTTACACACATTTGCAAAGAGATTGGAAAAAGAAAATAGAGATTACACACCTGATTGTGGAGTTGAGCCAGGTCAGATGTTAGTATGAGGCAACCTGCAGAGTAGACTATGCCATTCTTGGAACTACCCTGCATTGCAATGCACCTGTGTCAGACAGTTCATCCATGGCAGCAGTCAGGCCCCACAAGAGCCATAGACTCTTGATCAAAAGTGTCATAAAAAAGAAAAGTGGGCACATGCACAATGCCTCGATTAGCAAACCAGGATTGCATTCTATTCGGACTGATGTCCGAATTTCAACAGTTAATGGTGTACCAACTGAGCTAGGCCCATCAAAACGTTTCACCATCCATACTTGCATAATTATCAGTTGGGGGCCTCGCTCCACTACACAACACACTACATGCATTTCGACACTTTCCGGACCTGAGACATTCAAGCCGTAATGTTGCCACCACCTACTTGGAAAGATGTTGTTGTGGCCAAGGAAAGGTACTCCTTTCCACTCAGGGGTAATATGGGTTTCGTCCATACTCAGTGTTAACTGGAATTGGTCTCTAAGGAAGAATGCCAATCTCAGTTCCACGGCTTCTGATCATGGACCAGAGATTGCTACTAGAAAATAATCTGAGAAGTGGATATAATGCATCCTTCTGCGGTGATTCCAATGCGTGGGATCCAGGCGCGAAGTGTCTGCTCTTCGAGACTCGTTATATTCATGCATAAGTCAGAGTTGTCCGGATGTACCTCGTCCATAAAACGTCCAAATACCTGTAGAGTGTTGTGTAGTTGAGCCATGTCAAGTACCAAGTAGAAGTTTGGTCAAATCGCCCTCCAGATGGTATCCTGCTGATTGTCTGCGGTGAGCGTGTTCCAGGCTTTTGTTATTTCCCTATTTCTTTTCTGTCCGGATTGGCGAGGGTCCGTTCGGGCTATAGGAGGGATGCAGCGTGCCTCTGGCTGCCCTGGCCTAGAGCCAGGGCTATCTGGCTATTTTGCCTGTTTGGCCTGTGGGACCAGGCTGTTGCCTGACCCCATAGGCCGTGTGTTCATTCAGTCCAGTCCAGTCCTGCCCGGTACCACTGTCGCTACCAGGCCAGTCCAGTCCAGTCCAGTCAGTCCGCTGGTGGTATACCCCAGCTGCAGTCTGTTTTCGAGGCATTCTTCATCTGCACAGTTTGGAGTACATGCGTGTTGAGTCTGCGTCGGAGCTGCGCTGCCCCTTCCAGCTCCATCTCCATCTCCCTAATCCTCATCCCCTTTGTCTTAATCCTGACGGACCGCCATCCCGGTGGGTCCATCACACTGATATCAGCGCGGGAACGTTCCCTAATCCCACCCATCCCTCCCTCTACAGCGGCAAACCCCAACAGCGGGATTTTTCAGTGTTTTAGCACTCGCTGATGAGCGAAAAGAGGGTAAAAAGCGCTAGAGGAGCAGCAGAAGGGAAGAGCGACACATGGCTGAAAAAGAAGGGGTGCCATCACGACGCACGCGGGGGATTTTTCGATGTTTTTCTGTCCATTGACGGGCGAAAAGAGCGGAAAAAGAGGCAGAGGAACAGCAGCAGGGAAGAGCGATACGTAGTGGAAAAAAGATGAGGTGTCGTCACGACGAGTGCGCGCAAGCGCCAAGGCCAAGGCCGCCGCACGCGCGCCATCGCCCTGCCCCAAGGCCGCTGCACGCAGGCCACGCGCCCACACTGCCCCGCCACCGCCCCCCACTCCGGGAGTGCAGCTACTAGGATTTGAACCCCGGCAGCTACTACTCGTGCGCGTGCGTAGCCAGTGCTCTAACACACTGGCCAAAACCATGATGTGAATAGATAGTGTGGCACGGTGGTGTGGAAGAGTGCCACACCAACTATTTACCTCCCGCCCCCCCGTCGGCGAGCGGTGAGCAGCAGTCAACACGACAGCAGTGGGTGGGCTGCTATTTGCTTCCCCCCTTCCCCCCCCCCCACGTTGTGGCTGCTGCTGCTCCCTACGCACGTGGCCATCTGCTCTGCCACAGGACAGCTTGCTGAGGATCTTGAAGACCCCCCTGGCTTGGGGGCTGCACTACAGTGGGATCTGGGCGGCTGATCAAGATCTCAGCACGCCCAGATGCTGATTATTATTATGATTATTATTATTTCGTTTTCCTACTGCTGCAGCGGCAGTTTGGCAGCAGTGAATATCCCCCTGGCTAGGGGGCTACACGACTGTGTAGTCAGAGTGGCTGATCAAAATTTCAACCAACCCTAATATTCTTATCATCATTTTTCTGCTGCAGCAGCAGGCTGCCAGCACCTCGAAGGCCAAGATCCTGTGGATCTTGGTGACCTTGTTTGATCTTGGAGAGCTTGGTATTCCTACTCACTAATCTACTCTCTCCCAATCCTTTTCTCTCTCTCTCGACTCCACCCTCTAATCATCTTTTTCTATCTCTATAACTAATCCCTCACCCTACCTCACCCTCCTCTCTTCTTTTCTCCACTTCTCTCCCCTTCTTCCCACTGTTCTCTCACACCCCTCCCTCTTCACTATCTTCCTCCATCTTTTTCTCTCCTCTCCTCCTCACTCACTCTCTTCCACTAATCTTCTCCTCCTCTCCACCTTTCTCAAACTTTTCTCTCCCGTTTTCTCACCCTCTTCTCCTTTCCACCCCTTACTACAACCCCATTATTGCCCCTCATCTACCATCTCAAACTTTCTCTCTCTCTCACCTCTTTCACTTTTCTTACCTCTTCCTCACCTCTCCCCTCCCCCAACTTCGATTTTTTCTCTTTTTCTTTTTTTGTCCTTCTCTTTGATTATTTTTTTCTCCTTCTTCCAAGAATTTGAATTATTTTATCACCTCTTTTTTTTTCCATTTTCTTGATTTGTTTTTTTATTTTATTATTTTGTAATTATTTTGACAAATCTGAATTTTTTTGCTGCACCCTCAAATCTGGTTAGGACTTAGCCATTCTTGCTTTCGGCGCACATTTTGACCCCTTGGGGTTAACGAAGTGCTGCTGAAATTTTCTATTTTCCTCCTGAGTATTTTTTCCAACACATTATGGTCCCTTGGCGGTGGCAAAATGCTGGCAAACTTTTCTCATTTCATTTAGTCATTTTCTTTGACGGGATACTTCGACACCATCGGGGTAGCGAAATGTTGCCGGACTTTTTAAAAGATCCGAAACTTAGTTTTCTCTAATTTTTTCTTCACTCTACGCCACTTCCTCGTTTATTTATTTATTAACTCATTTTTTTCTTCATTCTCCGCCACCTCCTCGTTTATTTATTTATTTATTATTTTTTTGGAAATTTTGATTGTCATTTTGGAAGTTAGTATGCTTCCCTTGATCTTTTCTCTTCTCTTGCAACATTTTGACCCCATGTGGGGCGTGGAAATGCTGCCGAAAATTCCAAAAAAATAAATATTCCTTCTCTTTAGTTATTTAGTTTTATTAATTTTTTTTCTCTTGAAAATTCACTATTTATTTATTTCTCCTAACCCTTTTTTCTCCCGGCTCCTCCTGTCAGAAAACCCCGACCCAAACGGATCCTGTCTCCTCGACCGGCTTCGCACCACTCTTTCACACGCGACCCACTGGTCATAGAGTGCGCCAACTCACGACTACCCACGCTGCTCCCGCGGTCCCCTCCCTCTCATTGGTGGGTCTTTTTCTCCACACACCAGCCCATTTTTTTCCCCACCTCTTTTTCCACCTCTTGCCATGTCTACCCCCATCCTTCCACCGCATATGGACGAGAGTACATCCAAGGAGATCAATGTGGCGCCATCCACCTCCCAAACGCCCATTTAGCCAACAGTTCTCCGTTAGGCCCCTATGGACCTTGAGACCGTCTTCACGGCCCTCTTCACACCTATGCAACCGCGCCTCGATACGCTTGCACCCATACAAGCATAACTTAATGCGCTCGTCCTTGACGTCCACCGCCTCAAGGGTTCTCCTCATCGCTCCCCCCACCACTCTCATACTCTATCCCCTACCGGCTCTCAATCCGATTCCCCACGACTCCAGACACGAAGGCGTGGTGGTTCCTCCTCCTTTGTGGGTCAGACCCATCACTCACCCTCGACAGTGGTAAGTGTCACTGCCGCTCAGACCACCCCGTCTGTTGCGGCACCTTTATCGGTCCTTGCCGCTCCTGCCGCTTCGGTCATTGCCGTAGACACTGCCCGCCTAATACCGCTATCTGGCCAGACAGGCTCATCTACTCGTCCCGGTGCGGCTTCCCAGCTCCCGGCACCGATCGCGACATAACGGCTCAGAGTTCTCCCTCCCCCCCTGTCTCCTCACTTCCCCCTGAGGGCACCCTTCAGTTCGTGACTCATCCCCCCGCTAGGGTACCCTTACCTACCCCTCCACCTCCGACCCCACGCACCCAACGCTACTCACTCTTCTTCCTCGTCTACCACCGCTTCCAATTCTATCATGCAGACTCGATTCCCTTGACCTGCTTTCACTCCTCTCCCTTCTTACATCGCCATTCTGTCATAGCTGCTTGCGGTTGTCGCCTCCATATCTGATAACCCCCCTACCAACAGCTACGACCCACAACCTACTCTCACTCCCACCCCTGCACCGGCCTTGACCTTCGCCGCTACAGTGCAGGCACGCCAACCACTCTCCTCTCGCCATTAGCACAGCGAACCACCCCTTGTGTACCTGTCGGATATACCGGGCTACGATGGCACACTTCACGGGTCGCAGTGGTTGTAGATAGACACATGCACACTGACGTTGACAACTACCCCCGAAGAGATTTGCGATGTGCTTGCAACCAAATTGCATGCATCGACGTATGGGTGAGGTCCCCACCTTTGCGGATTTCACGACCCTCCTCCAAGACTGCTTCGGTGCTTGGTATGACGCCATTGATGCCCTAACCTGCATCACCCAGACGATATGGGCAGAGTCCAGTGTCGCGAGTGACTTACAACATCACATCCGGGCATTTCAGGACGCCTGCCTCACTTGTGATGAGATATTTCTCCCGGAGGCCACTCTCATCGACTGATTTTTTTTCAGCCTTCCAGCTGACTACCGTCTGGAGTTGTGGAGGTGGTCATTCTCATCGGCAGAGAAGACGTACCATGTTGCTCGTCAGTATCAGAGGATGTGTAATCTTTTTTCCACAGTCCTGCCC